AATTGATTGCCTTTCGCAGCTGTGTAAGTCGTACACTCATAACTCATAAGAATGTATTCTTTATTATTTTATTTTTTAATTTATATAGCTAATACTCTGTAGCTTGGAATCTTGATTCTTGAGATGGAGTGTTTGACTCTTTCCTTATACAACTATTTTAGAATGTAAAATGTCATATTCTTCTAATTCTGGATATAATTTGTATTATTGTGTGTTCATTTGTAAAATTAAATGAGGATTGTGATTATTAACATATTAATACGAATAATGTGATTCTAGATTATACATTGACTAGTTGTACCACGCGCGTTGCGCGATCGGGTTAGTGCCCAAGTAATTTATGTAAATAATCTTTTATTGGTATGTTAAAAATATTGATTTTATACAAAATATGAATTCCTATGTTGAGGATACCTATTAAAAACATTGTATCATGAACTGTATATATGAACATCTTCTTTCCCATATAATGATATCATTTTCTGATAGGCTAGGCTAATACGAAATTTTTTAAACATACACAAGGGAGATAACGAACAATCAACTCCTCACAAAATTGGTCGTTAGCCGCGTAACGACAATAGTGCGATTTAAAAAAAAAGCCAAATGGTGCAGATTATAGAGCATCACAATATTACAATGAAATTGGAACTTTATAGACTCAATAACTTCTGGAGTTAATTTCATGGGCACATGTTATGTCATAACATTTCTTCAAAATTAGGAACAACTATATAAAAAAGAGAAGAAGCAAAGAAACACACCGTACTTATCAGAAGATTTTAATTAAAACCAATAGTAATTATTTTACCCATTTTGTTGATATTCTTAAATACGATGTTTTTTTTTTGAAAGAAAAAACGATGTTGTTAGTTACCCTAGTAGTGTTCTTTAATCTAAGTAAGCTTTGATTTGATCCTCCTACTCTTTGACTACTTCCTTTTAATTAATAAATAAACTAATAGGATGTTCCTTGACCCCTAAGCTAACCCACTATCCCCGAGTAGTGGAATATCACCGGGTTAAGAAAAATATGAAACATATATTAATAATTACAGAAGTAATAAATAGTATAACAAAGCTAAAAAAATTAATAATACTCCTTGCGTCCCATAAAATTCTTCCCACTTTTTTTTGGCTGTCCCAAAAAAAATTCTTCCCACTTCCTGTTTTTGGACAATTTGTGTGGTTCACATTCATTTCACTTTTTTCTTACACAAACACAACCATACATTTCGATTTTATTCCACTTTCTTAATCTCCGTGCCAAGTCAAAGTGGGAAGAATTTTCTGTGACGGAGGAAGTATATACTAAGGCACCTCATTATTATTTAAAACTATGCATATATCACTACAACAAATACAAGATTGACACAGATTTACCGGTGATTTTGTGCCAAATAGGTCATGCCAAATTGTTTTTGGCACAAATTGGGCACATCCCTACCAAAATTCCTGTCAATTTTGGGGAATCCATGCCAAAAATCTTTGTCAATCCCGTGCTTTTTTTGTTGTGTACATATGAGGTCATAAATCAAACAAGATTTATAAACTATTTTTATAATGTAAGTGACACGAATAATAAACATTAAACATGTGTAATTAATAATGTAAAACACGAAAATAGTTAAATAATACAAGTATAATTACTTTCACTTAAAAAATCACCCATCTTACTACTATTGAAATTATATACCAAAATCTAATTACTAGTTAACTTTAATAGTTTCGTATCACTTTCACTAAAATTCATCACTATGATTTAAATTCAATTTTGCCATGATTTCAAACGATTTTGTATGCCTCTATTACGATTTTGTACGGTTTATGAGTTTACGATTTTGAATGCGATTCAAATCAATGTTGTGTAGATTTAAAATAAGTTTCTACTATAGTTTAAATTTTGTTTCACAAATTTATTAGTGTACACTCCTATTAATAGTACGTTTTTATGATTTAAATTGAGATTTTAAGAACCTAATTAATCTCTTTAGTCACTTGTTTGAACAAAATTGGCCCCATCAAATTGCTAAGTGTTACAAGTTCTGAAATATGGATTCTAAAAAAAAACAGTGCCATACGAAATTCCCAATAGCACAATCATGCCTCACCACCATAAAAACAGATCAATCATAATCACAGAGTAATAATATTTGAAAGAATTCAAATTAATACGGAGTCCTGGATAAGAAACAAACGACATCACCATTACTTCCGTTTGTTGGCTAAACTCTAAGCATAAAACAAAACAAAACATTTGGCTGAGAAGATGAATAGGAAGAGTTAGACGGATCATGTTTTAAACTTAAAATAAGAGTTGATTGATTAGTTGTACAATAATGTTAGTGAAAAGTACAAGTTGATATTACATGTGATTACACAAACACATCATTTATACTTAAAATGACCTTACCCTCATCCCCTTATAATTTTGTAGAGATTATATTATTAATTGCTGTCAACTTAATTAGATATATGTCTACCCAATCTACTCCTGAAAAGGCAAGGATCACATTGCATTTCTTTAAGTCTACAACAAATACATAAAACAAATAATAGTCAAATGATTTGATTGAAACTCTAACTAGTTCTCACATGTTCAAGAGTAATTAGTTTCTGATGCGGTTGAAATTGAATGAGATTCGGGAAAACGGAAAACAATAAGTCATTGGCGTTAAAGAAACGAGATTAAATCGGGTAATCTTATTTAATGGTTGAACCTTATCAATCAAAACTCAACTTTTACAAAGTACGAGTTAAAGAATGTCGTGTTCAGTTCACATTTTAATTTCATATATTGTACATGGTAACATACAAAAATATTTTCATGAATTTCAATATCTTAATCATTTTGTTCGAACTGTTTACTCGTGTAAATTTTATATATAGTATTTTTAGTTTACAACCGGCCCAACATGAACCTCCGTCCTGGCTCTGCCCCTGCAAGGGGGTATATATATAGGAAATTCCGGGTTTGGGCTTCTAATATTGGTCTTAGAGACCCAGTTGCATAAAAGGATTAATAATTCAAAAAAATAATATGAAATACTCGAATGATAATAGTAATAATAATTTACAATAATGTGAATATTATCCACCAATATATCCGGGCCACTGTGCAGGCCCAATAACTGGTAACACGGGGGGTCCAATATCACTACACCAAAGTATAGCTTTTGTAGCATATGCAAAATGTTGGAATAGGTGTAAAAAATGTCAAAGTATTTTCAAATGCAGCATTTTTAGAATGTTGCATACGACTAATGTTACAATAGAATTATTGTAGCAATTTATCATTTTATTGTAGCATTTTTGGTACAATAATGTTATAATAGATACTATATTGTAGCAATTTCTATGGGGCTACAAAATGGACGCTACAATAGACACTTTTTGTACTAGTTGTACAATATGTTCTATCACCCCTATTTAAAAATGACTCAAATAACAAAACTTTACTGTGCTTCACTCTAATATTAATATAGATCATAGCCATTAACATTTTAATTATAAGTATCACTATCATTATCGTTATGAGCGTTATTAGTAACTTATATTATTTAGTATTACTTTCTTTATAAAAATGTAGTATTACTATTACTACTATATATTATAAATACCAACAACCTATGCATATATTGTAATAGTAACATACATATATTAATAATAACATGTGAATAATATGGTGCACTAATAATACGATCTTACATTATTAATTTTTCCAAAAATATTACTCGAATGAAACCTGCCAGCAAAAATATAACTAAAAATAATGTCTTATAAATTATTAATAACAATAGCATATGACTATATGAGTGATGATAATAATAACATTATTTATAATTATCATTATGAAAACAATCTACAATACAAACATATGAATAATAATAGTCTTATAATGTAACAATGTTATTATTATTTGGAATAATTGAGTGTATATACAACATTAAAGAAGTGTAGTTAAATTTATGTCATATATATTTGAATAAATAAAACAAATAGCATAACTTACATAATTAAGGGATAAAAACAAACGGTTGTCTATGTTAACCATAATCATGTGGTTTCCTTTAAACTACAAAAGTGCTATGCACTTAAAAAAGAATAATATAGGCTATTAATTTGTCTTCTTATACTTATTTAAGCTATTTAGCCATTTAACCCTTATCATTTTTAATACTAATAGCAAGAACATATGGTTTTATATTAATAATAACAAACACACAACAACAACAATAACAAACAATACATAGTAGTAACAATAATAAGAAAAACAACTGATAGTATAATAATAATTTTTACTATTTTTAAAAATGTAATAACTAATGATTGAACTTTTCTAACTTCATTTGAATATTTTGAATTCAAACTAATTTTTCTAACTTGGTATCATTTGAATCCTTTTGATCTTATTTAATATGATTTTATTTGAACAGATTTTATCTTAATTTTTCAGGCCTTATATGATTTGAATTTTTATGACTCGATCATAATTTTCCACACATGATTTGAAATAAATTCTTTTGTTCTGTTTTGTTTTGATATGATCACAATAAAATATGGGGTTTATTGTACCAAACCCCCCTGTGATTTAAAAAATGCGTCAAACTCCCTTCTGTTTTAATTAATTATGCGAAAAATCACTTCTATGAACAAATCCAATTGTCAAATAAAAGAAAAATAATTAACATTTATGTATGATTTAGAGATTATGACATATTTACTTGCATATTCAATTATAATATTAGGAAAAGTGGTTTCCAGATCGTTAAATTTATTCACAAAATGGGTTTTGTGCATGATTAATTAAAACACATGAGAGTTTGACGCATTTTTCAAATCACATGATTAATCCCCTGAATTTCTATATCACAAGGGGATTTGGTGCATTAAACCCATAAAATAAGAAAAAACAATAAACAATAAGAAAATATCATAAACAATTTCATTTTATGAAACATACTTCAATATCGATTTATTTTTTAAAATAATTTGGTAACCTTAAAGTCTTAACCTTTTCTGCTTTTCCCCTATGAATCTGATGCCGGGAGTTTGGAAATTGGAGATTCATGTGGTTGCATATCCGCGTGCTCATTTGCTGATGCAGGTCTGCAATGGGTCCGAAATTCAACTTAATTTACTATTTTGCCTCTGGATTCCATGAGTGAGCCTCTGAGGATGAGAATAAGCCACGTTACAGGCGATGGAATAGGAGCGGAAATGAACGAGATGGAGATAAAAGCAAGCACGCTAGGGTTTCTAAACAACCAAATCTGGTTCAATGTTACTGTGCCCCATACCAGTGTAAGTAGTTTTCTGTGGGTGGAAAAAGAAGAGGTTGTCGTTTCTGCTTTCTTTTTTATCCGGTTTAATAATCACAGGAATAAAAAGAAAAAAAAGATAGTAGCCCGTATTACAGTACTTATTGGAAATTCTGAGGCTGCGGTGCATCCTCGGAATAATAAAAGCATAGTGTTCTGGTTGGGGGTTTAAGTATCTGTTGTGTGGCTCTGGTTCTTCTGTTTGCCGTGGCTGACATATATAGAAAGAACTATAGAAGCAGCTGAGCTACTTCTGTGCGGACATCTTCAGATATCTCTGTATCACACCCGCCTCCTTTATCTCACATGAATGTGCCCAAGATCATTGCAGTTCAGTGATCCATTACAATTTTGTGTGTGTTGGTTGTATTGTACGATTGAGGGTTGGGATTGGCTTGTCTTTGTATTCTTGTTGCTTCCACACATTTGATCTTATGTGGTGATTGGATTGGGTAATTTCTGCTGTCAAAAGTATTTGCTTTATTTCACATGATTATGGTACAAACTGAAGTATGTTTTGTGGGTATGAGAAATCACGGATTTCTTGATTGTTTTGGTGTGCATTGGGTTCATGGAATTATACTTCCTTAACAATGGATGGTTCATCTGAGTCTGATTGGCATAACTCAAATAGTTCCAGAAATCTGAGATTGGTTCATGGAAGCGCTGTGAGGTCATCTACTAATGCATTGCCTGATTCCAGGTTTATCCCAGCAAGAAAGGGAAGAGTGAAAGCACTGTTGTCTCATATGAATCAGCCTAGAGCCCACACTGAGTTTGTAAAGGGGGAGGTAGTGCCTAATAGAGATGGCAGGGTGGTTAGTTTGAGAAAGTTGTTGGACAATCCAGAAAGAACAGTTGACTCTTTTGAATGTTTGCACATATTCACTCAAATTGTGGAGATTGTTAATGTGTCACATTCTCAGGGAATTGTCTTTCACAATGTACGGCCCTCTTGCTTCATTCTGTCCGCATTCAACCGTATTGCCTTTATTGAATCTGCATCCTGCTTTAGTTCTACTCTTGGTTCACACGAAGATAGGCTAAACAGCCAAGCAGCACATTTTGAGGGTTCAAATTCACCTTCGCCTCATGACTCTGAACTTGAAGGAAAGAAATCTGTAGCCCAAAGATTGGAACATCCGAGGAATCCTACCATTGCTTTCCCTATAGTGACTGAATCCGTTTTCCAACAGAAGAAACCATGCCAAGCTATTAACAGCCAGCAAATCGAGGTGGAAGAGGAGGAGAACCATTCTTTCCCCATGAAACAAACATTGCTTTTGGAAGCCAGTTGGTACACTAGCCCAGAAGAAGCTGCTGGTGCTCCAAGCTCTTGCGCCTCAGACATTTATCGACTTGGAGTCCTCCTCTTTGAGGTTAGTAGCTAATAACACTAAGATATCTTTTTGTATAACGATATCCGTCTTAATGTGTTTGGATTAAGTTGGTATTTGTGTAAGAGGCTGTTCACTTTGCGTGCTAAATAATTAGTCTGAATTGTGTAAAATAACCTATTTAAGGTCATTTTTGGGCTGCCTTATCAATGGTTTCTTTAATATGTTTTGGCTAATAGACCTTTGAATGGTTACATCAAGGCTGAATGATTACAACAACATCCAAGCTTTAGTCCCAAAAGAGTGGGGTCGGCTAACATGAATCAACATATGAAATCGAAAAAAATCTAAGGATAAAATGATAAGAAAGAAATAGATAAGGACATATGGTAAGATGAAAAGGATAAAAAGACACGATAACGATTATATAAAGATACATACTCCAACTGTGCTGAATAAAGACAAAAATGCTAGGATAAAAAGGATAAAAAATATAAGATAAAATATAATCAAGGCTGAATGATTAAGGAACTTATTGGTGAATTAATAAGTCATGTTTCCACTTAAGCCAGAAGTAAACATTTCTTGATTGCTGAATAATTATGTCACGGTTATACCCATTAAGTCATAAGTAAACAACCCATAAGTTAAGCCTGGTTTATGATTATTCGCTGGTCTCAACGTTTAGTCTATCTTTCTCTCTCTTGAACAGCTATTCTGCACCTGCAGCTCACCAGAAGAGAAAAGTGTCACTATGTCTAGTCTGAGACATCGAGTCCTCCCTCCCCAGTTACTTTTGAAGTGGCCCAAAGAAGCTTCATTTTGCTTGTGGTTGCTGCACCCCGAGCCCAGTGGTAGGCCAACTTTGGGGTGAGAATCTTTTCGCCTCTTGTCAGCTTAATATGCTATCTTAAATTGTTTCTTGCCATATGCTTCTTCTTAATGAAAGGCCTTGCATATCAATTCATCTGTTTTAATGAAATCTTATCTGCCGATATGTGCTTTACATGATGTGCCAATTCAACTATAACATTTTTAGGCGGGCATATTTTTTGCTGGCATTCTTTAGCAAATTGCTTGTTTATGTGCTTTACTGCAGTGTTGATGATTCAAAATTAAAAAGGAAAGCTAGCGTCCACCGCAATTGGAATAATTGTTCTTGCCCCTCAAATTATTCTCACTCCACTAAAGCTATAACCTTTTCTTTCTCAGATAAAAGGGATAAATGCATTTGCAACATGATCTCTGAACTGTCAATCTCATTTATAGACCCCCACTAACTGTTGATTTTGAGTTGGAATTACATTGAAAGAGATTTTATGAAAAATATATATCACCAGCAATAGTTTTACCATGAGTTTAGTGCCCCTACACATATTCATTCTTTCATTCTCATATTCACTTTACAAATGATAACAGTGACCTGTCACGAAGTGAGTTCCTTAATGATCCAAAAGAATATCTAGAAGACCGTGAAGCAGCAAATGAGCTTAGAGAAAAAATAGATGAGCATGAAAGGCTGTTGGAGTTTCTTTTGCTTATGCAACAGAGAAAACAAGAGGCTGCACACAATTTGAATGAGACAGTATCTTTTCTTTCTGCTGATATAGAAGAAGTTACAAATATGAAGACAACACTGCGGGTAAAGGAAGGATCTGATCTTGAAGCAGGTAAGGATCCAGCTTCAAATAGGAACAATAAGGCTGATGATGATGATGGGAACACAGGATCTAGAAAGCGATTCAGGACAGGCATTGGTCCCTGCTATTCAGATGAGTCTGGGGACCATGCGAATGAGTATCAGATTTCAAAGACAGTTGTTGAAGATGAAGGAACTTTCCTCTCCAAAAATTCCCGTTTGATGAAGAATTTCAAAAATATAGAGTCAGCTTATTACATGACAAGACGCAGATGTGTAAAGCCGCTCGATAAACCATTGAGTAGACATTCTCAAGTAGGTAGTGATGGTAGGGTTTTAGCCGTAGCTACTGATAGGAGTTCTGTCTGTAATTTGTCATCAAAGGGAAGCTACTATAATAAGGGAACACAGAGTGGATGGATTAATTCGTTCCTAGAAGGCTTGTGCAAGTATCTCTCTTTCAGTAAGTTAGAAGTGAAGGCAGACTTAAAGCAAGGGGATCTTCTAAATTCTTCAAATCTTGTGTGCTCTCTGAGCTTCGACCGTGATGGTGATTTTTTTGCAAGTGCCGGTGTAAATAGGAAAATCAAGGTCTTTGATTACAATTCAATCTTAAATGAAGATCATGATATTCATTATCCTGTTGTCGAAATGGCTAGCAAATCAAAGCTAAGCAGTATTTGTTGGAATAGCTATATCAAAAGCCAAATTGCTTCAAGTAACTTTGAAGGTTTAGTGCAGGTAGGTCATATACTCATTGTGTCATGCTTACTTTTCTGTTGGAATTGCATAAAAAAATGAAACCGTCTATAATCCTCTGTCCAGGTATGGGATGTTACAAGAAGCCAACTTTTCATGGAAATGAGAGAACACGAGAGGAGGGTCTGGTCCGTGGACTTCTCAGTAGCAGATCCAACTATGTTGGCTAGTGGCAGTGACGATGGTTCAGTTAAACTGTGGAACATCAATCAGGCAATTATATATTTTTGAATTTTGGGGATGTCATCTTTGAAACGAAGTACAACACCTTTGTAGTTATTTTCATGGTTCATAAAGGTTCTTGTGAGGCTTCTTTCAGTGTGAGGCAGAGAAAAAAATACCTCGAGGCTTAAGCGTCAAGAGAATGAATTTAGGCATTATAAAGGTTGAGGCTTGTTAGGAGACTTGAGCCTCATATTTTCAGGATTTTAGTTTTATGTTTTTTTGGCCTATTTTATTTAAATAAAAGTCATACTAGATCTATTAGTTTTCGATAAATAGTCACTAATCCAATGAAAAGCCCTGAAATCTATTTTCCTCAATATTCTTCTCTTCTTTCCAGCAAGTTTCAGTAATAAGTCACTTTTTATTTTTTATTTAAATTGCTCAAGAATATAAAAATTTGCAACTGACAATTTCTTCTCCGTCATCCTCACTTTAACAACTTCTGATTTTACACAGATTATTTTTCCTTAAAAAGTTAACTTATTATAGTGGTCTATATTCTATGACACATACTTATGACTCATGTTTAAGTATGATTCATAATATGTTTTAAATTGTTAATAATTATGCTTTGCACTGAGGCCTACACTTTGCCTCACAAATGCAAAACACTTCAAGATTTATAAGCGCCTTTTTAAACACTGGTTATTTTTCAGTATGTATTTAATTCTCTATTTGTGGTTAGTTATTATTCCATGCTTTTGCAGGGTGGCAGTGTTGGAACCATAAAAACAAAAGCAAATGTGTGTTGTGTTCAGTTTCCTTTTGATTCTGGTCATTCCCTTGCATTTGGTTCAGCAGATCACAGGATCTATTACTATGATCTACGGAACTCTAAAGTGCCTTTATGCACTCTAGTTGGGCACAACAAGACGATAAGCTATGTTAAGTTTATTGATTCAACAACACTTGTGTCTGCATCAACAGATAACACAATAAAGCTTTGGGATTTATCAATGTCCGCATCTCGGACTATTGATTGCCCTCTTCAGTCATATACTGGACACACGAATGTAAAGGTAATTTTCATCAAGTTCAACAGTTTTCTTTAGATTTGGAATTTAAAATGTCTACATACTTGATACTAAGGAAAGATAAAGATAATTTAGTTGTGTGAGACTGTGAGTCAGAATTTACAACCACGTTGGTGGTCTAATTTGAGTAAACTCCATGGCTCTATACTTGCTAAATATGCTTAATATTTCCTGTGAACCTATCTTAATTCCTGATTATTTTTGTAGTACCTAATTATTAATTATTCGTGATCGCCAACATCAATTTTGCAAAATAAGTTGATAACTTCATATTAGATCAACGACCAATGCTAATATCATATTTAGAAATTAGAATATAAAGTATATCTTTTGCTCAATTACTTCTGTTGCTATCTCTATAAAATTTCAAACTGCTAAATGTTAATATCTAAACATAGACTAGCTTCATTAGCCCTCATTATGAATTAATGACGCCATGATGGGGTGAAAACTCGAAAAACCTAGATGAAAGTAAGGGTGAGTGGAAGATTTACTGAAGTTCAGATTATGAGATGTTTAGTATGTCCTATTGCGTGCTAGTAATGCAGTGCAGTGTATTCATTTATTGCAAAACCCAAATAGATATCACTCTTCTCTCCCTAAATTGTTTGTCTTCACATTATATTTATATTGGTTATTTTAATTCCCATTTAAAGATATTGAAGAAAAATGGCTCTTTGCTAACAGAGTTTTCTTGTTACAGAACTTCGTTGGCCTATCTGTATCTGATGGTTACATTGCAACTGGTTCAGAAACAAATGAGGTACTCACTTTTTTCATATTCATTCTGGACATTATTTCAAACATACTCAAGGAGAAACCTTATAGAGTTATAGACTATCAAGGACAGACAAGGGTATGCCTGCACATTTGGGCTACTATTAAACCTTTGTGCTATTTATTAAATTTCCATCATAAGAGTGATGGATCTACCCAGGTATATATCCATATAACAATAATAAATAAATAAATAAATAAGTAAATAAACTAATAGTTATAGAAATAATAACAGAAAATCCATTTTTTTCATTTAGATTAAAAGATCGGTAGATGTGAAATATGAAAGGTAGATCTGGGGTTTTGGTCTGGAGCACTTTTATCCAACATTTAGGATGTTTTTACTTGGACTGTAATTTGCTGGTCTGGTCTTATCTGGTATGGTTTCTTTGTATTTTTATAACTATCCAAGTCTGGTCTGGTCTGGGACGAATTACAGTCCAAGTAAAAACATCCTTAAAAGACACCTTACAAAATACAAACATGTGCTGTCCCTGAAATGTCTGTTGTTAGCCCATTTTAGCAAAAGTTATCAAAACTTGGTCATGGCTTGCTATTTCCCTGCACCCTGGCATGTCCCACACATGTTTTTTTTTATCCATTTTAGAAGTGTCAGTGGTTCGTGGATCCTTGTGGATCTGGTCACCAATAGTAGTATACTACATATTATGTATATCACATGCAAGAGCATAAGCTTATAATGCTTTTTATCCTATTACTATATGTTTAACATTTACTACAAAGGAATGTAAATATTCCTGATGTTGCATATAACTGAAGTCTAAAAGGCACTCTTATGCCTTAGAGCCATTTCGCAGTTGTGAGTCTAGGCATCCTCAAGGCGTTTGAGGTGTAAGCCTCAAACTTTATACAGAACTTTCTTTCCAATAAAACTACGTAGTACTAGCCATCTAAAACATGTTATCAATCATACATATAACTGTATAAGCAAGTCATTAAGGTGATTAAGTGTCATAGACCTCCACAATAAATTTAACTTTTTAAAGAAACAGTTTTTTAAGATTTATTGTCCCAAATAAAATAATAAGTATATGGAGAAGAAATGGCTGGAGCTTGTTTTTTTTTTTGTGTTCTGGAGCAATTTGATTACAACTAAAAAATCAAAAGAATTTATGTTACTTTTGTTGTTAATTTTGAAATAAAAAGGGAAAAATAGCCGGAGTTTTCAATTTTACCTGAACATTGTTAAAAGAAGAGAATAGAAAAAATATTGGCAAATAGATTCTCGGTTTTTATAGGTTTAGTGACTAGTTATTGAAAAACTATAGGTCCAATTTGACACTTACTTAAAAATAATAATCTAGAAGCAACTTAAAACTTATAAGTACAAACATGAGGCTTAAGCCTCAGAAAATGCCTCAACCATAAGCCCCAGTTCATTTACACAAGGATTAAGCCTCAAAGCTTTTTTCACCGCCTCACACTGGTGGGCCTAAAGGCCTCCTTTTAAACCATGCATATAATTCCACACGAGGTCTATCTTTGGGGATAAACTCACACCACTTACATGGATGGTATAGAATGAGTCGCTAAATGGTTATTTTGAGGGCTCCAAATAGGATAAGAAATTAAGAATATGATCTTCCATACTTAAAATCATATGCATCTTACTATGCTATGTCTGTTTACTATTAACATTATAAAGCCTCACTTGTGTAAAACTAATTTCTCTACCCATTCTACCTTATGTGGGGCTATTTTTTTTTCTCTTTTGTTCCGTTCCTATGAAGCATTTCGTTTTCTCAATCAAACTTGGGACATGCTAACGCTTCTTCTATTATATGTGGTATACAGGTTTTTATTTACCACAAAGCTTTTCCAATGCCTGCATTATCATCAAACAAGTTTACTAGCACGGACCCACTTTGTGGAGATGCAATGGATGATGCTTCACAGTTTATCTCATCTGTTTGCTGGCATGGTAAGTCATCCACCTTAGTTGCTGCAAATTCAATGGGTAATATGAAGATTTTGGAGATGGTTTAGTGCCACCAATAATCCCTGGAGGCGCAAGAACTACGTTGCAAGATGGGCAGAGATTGATCGGGGCGGTAAAAATGAAAAAAAAGGAAATTTAAATGCCTGCAAGCAGAGTTTTTGTGGCATCTGAGGTGAAATTTATAGTAGGAACTGTGTGCTACATCAACACAAATGCAGTAAAAATGATTTTTGTAACTAGTCGATAGTGGGAACCGCTAATTTGGATTTGAGAGATTTTAGTCTTTTAGATAACACTTAGGAGTGATAATGCTGAACATGTAGTTTTTAGTCCCATTTGGAAGATTTTTTACTCGACTGGGAATGGCTCAATGATGTGAGATTAGTTCCATTTTTATTTGTACTAAGATCAGTTCCCCTGCCAAAGGATGTCCAAAAATTGGTATGACAGATCAAAGGAATTATTGATTCGTGGATTGTCGAACCTTTATTTATAGTTTTTGATCTATATTCCACATGAGTTTAGTTAATTCAATATATAAAAACGCGACGTCATCTATTTTTTTTTATAGAGAAAAAGGTCAAATAAGGCATTCTATTATTATGAAATCGTCACATAAGGTCATGTACTTAAAAAACGTCATATAAATGGTCTACTTGTAAAAAACCATCTTTTTATAATAGATTATACGGCACACGTTGAATATTTACCTAAGATTGGTCGAAATACAAGTCAAATAAATTGACACGTAAGCAAAAATCAGGATTGAGAGGTTGTCAACGGGTCATTAGGACTCATCCAATTGTTTTTTATAAGTAGACGTATTTATATGACACATTATTGAGTACATGACCTTATGTGACGATTTCATAATAGTAGAAGGTCTTATTTGATCCTTTTTTATCTATGTAAAATCATTATTCGAGCTAAAGTTGTACGTCTGTCCGTACTTGACACTATGATTATGGATTTATGGTATTGGATGAGATTTTTGCTCTTGATGCAACATCTCATGGCATAAACTATAAACAATGTTTATGTCCCGTGGAGTAAGAGTTAGAACTGTTTTAGAAAGTAAAAAATGTTACTTATGGTTCTCAGCACATATTTTTTTTTTTTAACTTTTTAAATATAACATTCAAACTATTAAAAAAACAACACTCAAACTTGGATTATTAGCTAAATATATCTCCAACTATCATCAAATTCACATATCTATCCTATACTTTCACTTTTATTAAAAAAAAGACTCAAACTCCAACTTTTCTTACAATTACACTTTTAATGAATGAATTAGTAAAAGTTAAGAAGAAAATCATATTCATATTTCATATCTTTTACTTGTTCATAGTTTCAAGTTTACAAATTTGTACTCCTTCCGTCCCAATTTGATGGTCCTGTATTTCCTTTTTGGGATGTCCTAAAATGATGACCCTGTTTCCCTTTTTGGAAAGAAAGATGTTATCAATATCATTTCACTTTATTATACTCAAATCTCAACCACAACTTTTACCTTTTCAACAACTTTATTAAAAATTTTGCCCAAAAGAAATGAGACTATCAAATTGGGACGTAGGGAGTATTGCTTATATCTAATTGGTATTGATAAAAACGTGTAATATTGAAAAAATAAAAAATAAAAGCATAATTATTGAAAAAGATGAAGTTTGAATCTTTTTTTTATAAAAATAAAAGAATAGAATAGATTTGTGAATTTGATGATAGTTTGGGATAAAATAAGCTAATAATCCTTCAAACCTTAAACTCAATAAAATTGTTAGTTCCATACTTCCATACACATATTTAAAGCACGTACTAATAATCTAACATTACTGTTAGTGACCATTAATATTATGTACGTTTGTTCGTACGTGATATTATGATATTGGTTGACATTTTTGCTCTTGTTAATTGTTATTATGACATACGGAGTATAATTATATGATATCTCCAGGATATTGGTTGACATTTTTGCTCTTGTTAATTGTTATGACATATCATTATATGATATCTCCAACTCATGGCACGAACGAGTGAGAGTAAGAGGCGTTTTAGAAAGTAAGAATGTTACTTATGAATTGATGGTTCTCAACGTATATATATTTTTTGAATATAACACATTAACACTCAAGCTGTAATCCCAAAATAGAATGATCATCAGTTCCATTCTCCATATACACATGTATTTAAAGCACCAACAATCTAACATTTGTCACCGTTAATACTATGTACGTCTGTTCGTACGTGACATTGGCCTTGTTTGGCATATAGCTGTTAGCGGCTAGATATTAGCTGGTTGTGTCAGCTGGTTGTCAATAGCTGTTTGTATTAGATGTTTTGATTAGCTGATCATGTAAGCTTATTATGAATCAACGTTTGGTAAAATTAGATGTTTGTAAATAGTTGATTGATGCAAAAAGACATCTAAGGAATATTTTTAATAATCAACAAGTTGGGTTTTAGTTTTCTCTTCTTTTATCTCTTACGGAATATTTTTTATTTTCCTTTCTCCCTTTTCTCTCTATTCCTCCCAGGCTTGTCTTTGTTCTACCGTTCTATGCTTTTAATTTTCTCCCGATTCTCCCTCTTTAGCCTCGTTTGTATTTTTTTTGTGTTTCTTCCTTTTTTACTTTCAGATGGCAACTGAAACGGGACTTCAACCCCTGTTCCCTATAAACCCATTTCCTTCCTATGGCAGATTCTTCTTCATTGTTTTCCGGTTTTTTAGTTTTTTTTATTACACTTGAGGGAGCAACTAATAGAAGCAGAGATCCGGGAAATTTGTTGGAGTGGTGCCAAGGACGAAGAGCTGCGAAACAGAGGCGGTGGACATTCATTAATAAAAAGAGGAAATGACCTTTGGCTTTGATGAATTGCTGCACATAAACGAACTACGAAACTCAAGGGGTATAAAAGCGTTTTAGGGGACCAGCCAAATTCAAACGCTGCCCTTCGTAGCTTTTCTCTTTTCGGTTTTTTCAACCCTAACAGCCAAGAGAAGCATCCAATTACCAAACGATAATATTGACTGATTGGATAACAGCCAAAAGTTGGCTGATAAGCCGTTTCCCAAACGCAACCATTATGGTATTGAATGAGTTTTTTGCTCTTGTTAAACATCTCATTAAGTCATTATACGATAGCTCCAATTTATGGCATAGACTATAAGTCATATTTATGTCATGGGCAGTAAGAGTTAGAAGTGCATTAGAATGTAATAATGATAGTTGTGATGATTGTCACTTGTCAATCAAGACTTAAATGTTGTCGTACTCAAAATTTTATGTGCTAAGTCTTGATCCCAAAATGTGTGTTTTGTACGCGCGCATGTGTTGACAAACTTTTATACGTAGTATGTTACTATGTTTTACTAAATGGCAAATTGTTTACATACGCTATTCAATACTGATGAGGTTCTACAAAGTTATTAGAGAATACTAACATAATGTATAACACTGGCACAAAAATTTATGCTATGAAACCTATTAATAGTTCACTTCAAAATTAGGAGTGAGTTAAGTTTGTTTGGTTTAGTCGTGGCTCAGAACCAAATACCGAATTAAAGTATGAAGTTTGCTTCCATTTTATCATTTCCCTAGCTTGTATCTATGATGTTACGGTTTTTTATTTGATTAAGGGAAAATCATAGTTTTAGTCTCTCAAATAGTACCGATTTTGAAATACAATTGTTGTGTTACCAAGATTGTAAATGTTGATTCAATTGTTCAAATTGCTGTAAATGTGGTTCTTTGATGAGTGATTGCTGAAATGTGGTTCTTCGATGGGTGAAATGTAAAATGGGGGTGAAGACTACATATACACCAATTTAGATAACTAAGGGATTGTATTTATACACTTGGGAACATGGGGATTATATTTTAATATCCATTCTATTTGAAAGACTCAAATTGAGATTTTCCTTTTCATTAATGCTTACTTATGTTGATTCCCTTAAAAACAAGCCATTATAGTTTGATTTGATTTTTACATTTTCTTTTACTCCGTATGTTATTACAAAAAAACATGCCATTTAATTAAAAATGATGTACCAATTGCAAAACCAATGCAAAACTACTCCATATAACATGAAATATACTAGAAAAAACGAAACAAACAAATAGGAGAATGAATAAGCATAGCCCTCAACTACATACGTAGTATAAAAGAACATTTATATGGTTGCAAGAAAATGAGTGCATATTGCAAAATGTTTGGAAGATTAGCCTACTTACTAATTATATATTACCGAGTATTATATGATGTATCAACCCAAATCACGTATTTATGCAACTAAAAAAGGAATCTCGAAATTTTAAAGGATTAGTAATTAGGGCCTCAAAAGACCAAAACTTGTCTAAATAGAAAACAGTTACCGATTTCTTTCTCGTCTCTTGGTCCAAGCATAATATGAACGCTAATACTGCTATATTTGATTTAATTGTTCAAATTGCTGTAAATGTGTTCTTAGATGAGTGATTGCTGAAATGTGGTTCTTCGATGGATGAAATGTAAAATGAGGGTGAAGACTACATGTACACCAATTTGGATAATTAAGGGATTATATTTATACACTTGGGAACATGAGGATTATATTTTAATATCGATTCTATTTGAGAGACTCAAATTGCGATTTTCCTTTTCATTAAGGGAAAGTTTCCAAAATGGGACTAAAAAAGTTTGAAAATTCCAAAATAGGACTGTCATGTTTTTATTCCCATAATAGGACTAATTACTGTCAAAGTTGGAAAATACTGTCTTGTTTGAAGTCTGGTACTGCCAAAACATGACAGTAATTAGTCCTATTTTGGGAATAAAAACATGGAAGTCCTATTTTGGAATTTTCAAACTTTTTTAGTCCCATTTTGGATAATATCTCTTTCATATTAATGCTTACTTATGTTGATTCCCTTAAAAAGCAAGCAATCATAGTTTGATTTGATTTTTACATTTTCTTTTATGTTATTACAAAAAAAACATGCCATTTAATTAAAAATGATGTACCAAATGCAAAACCAATGCAAAACTACTCCATATAACATGAAATATACTAGAAAAAACGAAACTAACAAATAGGAGAATGAATAAGCACACCCCTCAACTACATCTACCATCTTATAAACACCAATGAAGGTAAGGTTATTTTGGACATAGAAAATGTGTTGGTGTACATTAATGCATTTGACAGTTGTACATCAGGTTACACTCATTGTACTTGCTCAGAGTATTATATTGTCTTTCTTCCGTCATAGCCATCTACGTCTGCCCTTCGTTGCCGTCAACGTTTCCGCGCGTTTAGCTAAAACCTCAATGATTTTCTTTTGTTTTCCTTCTATGCCTCACAGGCTTTTCGTTGCCCCATCATTTATTCATATTCGGTCCCTCACAATTCGGATTACAAGCATTTCCTTCATTCTCTATAGAAATGGCTCTGATCTGGAACAACACTCTCTCGGAAATCAACAGTTAGACTTAAGAATCCGAATCAGAGATAAAACTGATTTCTTGGTTGTGGTGATCAAAATATGGCACCTCTCTCACCGTCGTCCGGAGATGCTTCTGTGGATTATATTTCCGTCTTATAAACGTGAAGCTCGTGCATGCTGACCCAGAACTTAAAATCGAAGTAAGAGTCTTTCTATTATCCAATCGCTATGATAAAACAATTGGATGTTTTCATCACAGTTAAATAGATGATATTGAATCTTAATATTTGGTTGTAGGGTTGGAATCGAAGGAATGGTTCAAAGATTCTGAATAGCTCGATGACATTAGTTGATTTCCACTGTTTTATTCAATCCAATCTTTTGATAGATGTGTCATTTCTTCGGTTCTTTTACGTAGTATTCAGATAATAGATTTTCATTGGGAATTCTGGATTTGATTTTGACTTAAACTACACACTACTAGAATTTATTTCTAATATTTTACTTCTTCAATTGAAATCCAATGTTTAATTCGGTTGAAAGTAAAATAAAAACCCACTCCGAAGTGCAATGAATAAACATTAGATGAATCAACACTAGCTAATGAATACACATAATTAGATAATTAGTCTGTATGGTCAAACATACAAAGAGAAAGGAGGTAATCTTAGTCAGCATTATTTAGCAATGAATAAACCCCAGAAGGCCAGAAGTACGTGCTTCTTCCAAGGCCACATTCATCATGGCTTCAAAGCATTTGATGATGAGTTATAGATTGAATCTGAAATATTTGATGCTTCTCATCAAGTCAATAATTGTACACTCGGTGATAATTTCAATTGCTTCATCCTTCGTGTGGATTTTGAAAGAAGTGCGTGTGTATATGTAACGTATATATGTATATCAGTATATATATATACATATCTTGCCCTTTGATCACATGGAAATGGATGGATTAGATGAATTTTAAACACAAGAGATGATTTTAAAAAATGTGTAAATATTTATACTATAAAGTGGATAACTACTGATTAAAAGTGCACTCATGCATGTTAAAAAAGATGGCCAAAACTTTCTAACTTCTGCACTTTTTATTTTGTATTGTATTGCACTTTTGTGCTCTACGTTTCCACTTTTTGACTATTCTCATACACATTTTTCACAATATTTTCAATAAAAGTTCTTCATAATTACCAAAATGCCATCGCGTTTTTCACTTAAGATTTGATCTCTTCCATCCATTTTTTCACATCAATGGCCAAAATTAGTTCTTATTTTTCAACTAGGAAGCACTTTTGATTTGATCCATGCTCCTCTCTCTCTCTCTCTCTCTCTCTATATATATATATATATATATATATATAGAGAGAGAGAGAGAGAGAGAGAAGATCAGGTGAGAAGTGCCCCTTAAAATGAGAAGTGAGAAGTAATCGATCTTAGCCCTTAGATTTGCATCTGATTTTACAACGCAGTAAACTTATAGACTAAATATAGGAACTTATAACCTATAAATCATAACTTATAAAGCTCTTCATAATAATTACGAAAATGCCACCGCATCAAAATTTTTTCTAGGTTTCCGTGTTATTTTTTTGTGGTGGCATTTTCGTAATTATTTTCGAGGAGTCTATAAGTTATGATTTATTGGTCAAAAGTTTCTATATTTAATCTATAAGTTTAACTTCGCAGTTCTCAGCCTAAGAGCACTTCTGACCTGATCTGCTCCATATATATATATATATATATATATATATATATATATATATACATATACATATACATATACATATACATATATATATATATATATATATATACATATACATATACATATACATATATATATATATATATATTTTTTTTTTTTCTTTTTTTTTTCTTTTTTTTTTTTTTTTTTTTTTTTTTTTTTTTTTTTTGAAACCATCAATTTTGTTCTCTTTCTATGGAGCAATAAAATTGTTTTTGAGATTCTAATATGCTCAGCATCATAGTTTAACATAGATGTATAAATGATTATTAATATTCACTACAAAACGTCATCTTCATCTTCACTACCAATAGACTCCATCAATTCACTGTCATCATCTTCACCTACATATATATATATATATATATATATATATATATATATATATATATATATATATATATATATATATATATATATATAGAGTACTCTTCCGGTCAGGAATTCCTGACCGGAACCGCCGTCCGGACGGCGGCGTTTGGCCGCCTTCCGGGTGGAATTTTTCAATGAAATTTTTATGACATGTTCTCCATCAAGTCTAGTTTATCTACAAAAAAATTCAGCCAAAAACTCATTCGGGAAGGTCATCAAATGATTTTTGCAAGTTAACTGGTCCGGAAAATACATATTCCGAACCAGTTAACTTGCAAAAATCATTTGACGACCTTCCCGATTGAGTTTTTGGCTGAATTTTTTTGTGGATAAACTAGACTTGATGGAGAACATTCCATAAAAATTTCATCAAAAAATTCCACCGGGAAGGCGGCCAAACGCCGCCGTCCGGACGGCGGTTCCTGTCCGGAATTCCGGACATGAACTTTTGTCTATATATATATATATATATATAATACACAATTATATGGGTAAAATATATATGCATCCTGATGATCCTCGTATTAAGTGTATGCATGCTTTCGCATGTTTTGTGATGTTCTCTATAGCAGGCTAGCTAATAAATAGACCATTTAGATTAGTGAATTTTTTTCTGCCATTTAGTATTGTGCCATTTAGAAGAGCATTGCTTATAAGTTATAAATATTTTTAAACTGCTCCCTTAGTGCCTTTTCTTCTGGTACATCAGAGAGCACTTCGAGGAAGAATAACCAAATTCAATGAACGACATGCCACTCTTTAGGACCAGTCCTGTGATATCCAATATAATGGAGATACAAGAAGCTTATATGGAAGAATGAATATCACACGCTTTAAGCCAAGCCATCAAAGTGGGTTTTCTTTACATTTAGAAAGACATTCTAAGCAAAAAGAAAAATGTCAACTTTCCCATATCAACTTCAATTCGTAGGAAGTCTTGTAAAAGTGTATTCCATGAAATGGACATTGGGCATTTGTTCGATCGCGCAACGCGCGTTAGAAAAACTAGTACGTAGTATAAAAGAACATTTATATGGTTGTAAGAAAATGAGTGCATATTACAAAATGTTTGGAAGATTAGCCTACTTACTAATTATATATTACCGAGTATTATATGATGTATCAACCCAAATCACGAATTTATGCCACTAAAAAAAAGAATCTCGAAATTTTAAAGGATTAGTAATTAGGGCCTCAAAAGACCAAAACTTATCTAAGGGTCTGTTTGCAACCCATTAAAAAAATGTTTTTAACTTTTTTTTAAAGAAAAAACACTTATTTTACCAAACACTACTAACTTTTACTTTCTCGGCTTCCGTGTAGAATCTACTTTTTACTTTTTCTATTACACAAAAAGCACTTATTTTACCAAACACTACCAACTTTTACTACTAATCACTTTTTCCCCAAAAGTGCTTTTATTTAAGCAGAAGTGGTTGCAAACAAAGCCTAAATAGAAAACAGTTACCGACTTCTTTCTCGTCTCTTGGTCCAAGCATAATATGGACGCTAATACTGCTATGTTTGGATCCAGTTAAATGTTGAGAAAATTAAAGAAAATGCTAAAAGTGATTTTTAAAAAAATGTTAAAAGTTTAATTTGCCAAATTTCTCCAACTACCCCAAATATTTTTTTCCGTAGCAATTCTGAAGTTGAAAAACACCCTAAATAATTGCAGCTTAAAAAAAATTGAACCAAAACTGACAATTTATACATGGATAGCAATTGACAAGGTTTATGCCCTTAAACTTCAGAGCAATCTTTAGCACAGAGAAGATCCTTTAACATCTCACATGGGCTATATAGCCTATAGGACTAGCATGAAAAAATGGATTTGGTAGAGAAGAATAAATACCATTTCTTTTCCAAATATAGACAAAATTGATGGCAAAATACATTATATCTTACAGTATATCCAATTTTATTTTAGTTTTTCTCTTTGAACCTTTGTGATCCAACTGTTCTCTTCCCAGTCGTTGGCAAGAAGATGATATATTAAAGTTCTACTTGCATTGCTGTTGACTAAATATCTCAGACAAAACTATTTTTCCTATGAGTCGGCGAAGCCTCTTGGCACCTGGACCTGGTTTAAGTTTGACAGGATCACCAAGCTCAGAACAAGGAGGATTGCCAGCACACCAGCCACCAGGGGTAAAATTGCCACTATTTCTGCCTAACAATTTCTTGTCTATCTTATCTAAAACAGGATCACCTTGGTTGAACTTGCGTGCGAAGGGGGCATCACTTTTAATCATTTTCCGGGTATCATTTAAGTTAAGGATGTGAGGATGCTGTTTTGGAGGAACATCCCAGGAAATATAATGCATGTCATGGTTGACCACAGTTGGTATAAACTCAGGGGCATTGCACACAACAGTTTGGAAGTATCCTTCAGGAGAAGAGACAAAATTTGTGTAGTACATAAGTAGAGTTCTAGGAAGATTATCCCAACCCTCTACACAGTAATCAACAAATGCCCGTGAGAGGATCATCCATGCAGAACCTGCAGATTGTTAATTTTACCATTATTTCATGATCCTAAAAGAAGGAAACTAATCAAGAGTTAGCACCTTATCACAAGTTTATCTGTTTGATGCAGATCAATGAGTTATCCCAAAATACTCGAGCTAAAACGTCATTTCAAGAAGTTTGTTAAATTAGTAATATGGTAATCACAGTTTTAGTACAATAATAGTTTTAGTAAATATATAGTTATCATAGCTCTAGTTATTGTTTCCTAATCCCAAGAGATTTCCTATTCCTAAGACGCTTAGTTCTCATTATCTCTAGAAACGATGAACTTGTAAGTTCATACTTATTATATCTATAAAAGTAGTACTGTAGTTTAATACTGAACAAAGTTAAAGTTCCATGCACGGGCGCACGGCCACAAAGTAATAGGATCCTCACAAGCTCAACTCAACAACACCCCTATCAGATGGTATAAATGGAAATGGACCAATAAAGCGAAGTTATAAAGCCAAGTGATCCTAATACAGATAATAGGCTCTACTACCGAGTAGTAGCATAAATGTGACAAAATGAATGTGACTACCCCGTAGGCCCATAGTTGCAAATGAACTCTTGTCCCCTACAGATCTAGATATGCACTTCACTGTCCATATATTAATGAAACTACTCAAACTACTCAATCAACGTTCAAGAGCTACATGACCCTGATGAATATTAATGAAACTACTCAAACTACTCAATCAACGTTCAAGAGCTACATGACCCTGATGAATTAATTTCCATCTGAAGAAAGGTAAGTGCATTGAATGCACACTTGCAATGGATCAAAGCACTTAAGCATGACAACAGACAACAGTGAATTTGGATATCTAAATAGCACAAATCAGCAGGCAACTTCTACGTTTATTAACAAAGTTAATGTAGGATAATATTCACCAGTAAATAGTTTAAAGGATGTAGGTAAAGCTCTCCCAGGTTTGACCCAAAATATGTCAGACTTGGTATCCTTATAGAGCCCAGGGTCTACGATCAAAGGCATAGCTCTTTGCCCCCTGCAATAGAGTCATATACTATGACGATACTAAGACCAAATCTTTTGACACCTGATCTATATAGCTACCAACAGATAGTAAAAGAGACAGATAACATACTCTTTCCAGCCTAACCGGCTTGTGTGCTCAATGAAATTTAACTCTCGCTTGAGAGAGGAGAAAGTGGAAAGAAGATCTGTCGGAACAAGAACACAACACACCAATCACATACACTATTAAAATGAAAACAATCTTCCCCTCCTTTTCCCTCTGAAATCCCTGAACCAGACAAGACTTGAGATTGCAGAACAAGAAATGAACTAACCGTCTTGAGTGACGAGGGGATAATCTGAAGCACTAAGATTTATAAACCAATCCCAATCCTGATGCTTCTTGAGGAGGATGGCACATGCATGAAGAGTATTAGCAACCATGGTCGGCCCTCGATATGTAACCATATTAGCTCTGGTAATCATGTGGACATTCCCAGCTTGAATAAAAAAGGGTTCTGTTTCTACTCTGTAGGCAAGCTCCAATCTCTCCTCCACAGACGACTCCCGGTCGAGATGGACAACATAGTAATTACGTGGATGATACAATGCTCGCAATGTTCTCCAAAGCTTTTCTAAATCGCCTTTCGAACCTGATACCAGATAAGCAAAGCGTGGAACGAAAGGACCAGATGGAGGTACAGATTGTTTAACTTTTGTTTCTGCATAGTCGGGGCTTGTTTGGTTTATTGAAACGTTGTATGTCGAATTCGAAGATATAAGACCCATATTGAAGCATGTGGCAAGAAGGAATACAGACACGAGTGCACTGATAACAAAAGGAAACACCCATTTCTTCTCCATGTTCAGGTACCCCATTGCAAATACCATAACATATGCACTTACAGAAAAATGTCAGATTGAATTAGGTCCTCTTCTCATCTATCCAAAAATCAGATTAACCAAAGGTTCTGAAAGGGAACCCTAATTACCAGATGTACTTGAAACATATACATCTCCTGTTCAAATAGAATCCCCGGTATACGTATTATCCTAAAATAGCCCCTGAGTCGAAATGCCACGTACCAAACTAAGTCTCAACATATAAGGAAACAATCCATGGTTAAGAATGACACAACAGATTCTGATGTCCACATTTGCTCCAAATATATAAGCACCTGACCCTGAAGACAATACCATTTCACAGATTAGATAAAATAAAGAGATAATGTCGAGAATATATTGAAGGTAAACAATGAAGGAATTGACGCAGAGGAATAAGATCATACAGATTTACAGATTTGTTGAGTCTGGCGGTATGCGGGAAGCTATGGTTTTCTGCGGGTGGAATAAAAATTGGCAAATTGCAGTATTATTATATCGGTGGGTAGAAGGAAGGGAGTTGGGTTGTTTATAGGAAAGCTCTTGTTCAAAGAAAATGACACCAAAGGATGAGGCTGATGAGCATGGTCAAAAAACGGATGGGACCGGATTGGAACTAATTGAACCGGAACGACTTGAATTGGAATGTTCAAAATTACAGGACTGAAGACCGGGTCTATATAATTCGGGTCTAAGAAGTGACTGGGTTACTTTGGGTATCATTGAATCAGTATTGTATCGAATTTGAATTTTTAATTGAACATATTTTTTCTTCTTAAAAAATAGTCTTTGCTAGCTATTAATTTTTGTAAACGTAAAATTGTTTCTTTTATAAAGAATTAAATATTTAAATAAATTTAAATCTAAGCCAAATGTTAATATTTGCTCATACTTTTAGATAAACATATACTCCGTATTTAAAAATAATAATACGGAGTAATTACCTAAATGTTCTGACCTAAGACCGGACCGGACCGGTATGTAACTGGTTTGCATCCAGTATGGACGGGTAGGTCCAGTTTGGTAACATCTCAACCCACGAGTCTAATGTGATATGCCTGGACTCTTTTCAAATCGAATGCTGTTATCACAAATCAACTCAAAACATTCTACTCTTCGTGAAGACTATTCTCATGCAAACACACTTACTTATTGCTTAAAAGAAGGTGTAACTTATAACAATAAGTAATTGTTATGGTCCTTGAATTTGATATTTTTAATAGTGGCTATAGGAGCGGACCCCATACACCAGAGAATATAAACCAAAGTGGACGACTACGTTTTATTTTGAAAATATGAAATGACAATTTGTGACTCTTTGCCTTGAGACACGGTTGATATAGAGATTGTGCAGGACATATCGATACATTATTTGAGGAGAGGATTTGACATAGAACTGAGGGAGCTAGGTGGAAGACGTTGAAGCCACAAGCGAGAGGTTACATGAGCTGTGAATTGGATGATTATTCAGTCATTTTTACCCCGATTTCGGGTCAAGGGTCTGTGTTAAAGTCCTTCACAATAAAAGAATTGTGAAAACTCAATTGAACTATTGTTTGTTCGCAGAGTAGATTGACAAAAATAAGATTTTGATGAATATGAGGGGCATCCTTTGTATCTAGACGTCACCATATGTTGGCCTCTCCATTAGAAGCCTTGTTACATTCGCCATATTACATGTGTAATTGTTTCGTCTATTTCACCCCCAACTTGAATTTCATATAATTCTTAGTTTTAGTTTTCGACCCCCACATTGGATGTTTATAAATATGAAATTTGAGTTTTAAAAGAAAAACAAAATATGGACCCTAATTGTCCGACTTCAGTTCTTGTACAAACTAATTAAATTGTCCCGACACCAACTTGGATTTTGAGCTGCAATTTGAGTTCACTTTTTGAAGATAACAAAAGGTGAATAGTTCCATCCCCGTCGTAATTGTCCGATTTCGGATCTTGTATAAATGGAGAAGAAATAAAAGTATCAATAGTTAAAAATGATCTTTAGAAGTTGTTCGCAGTGTAAGGTGTCAGAAACTGTATATCAAGCTCATTTTGCCAATCCAACTCGGCGAGGAGTTGGACAGGGGTTCGGGGGCGGTAGCCCCTGATCCGAAGGAAGGGGGTCTTTTGTATTATGGGCCCGTGAGTTCTCTTATTGGGATTATGGTTGTATTCTCTTTAAATACCCGCTCTCTCATTGTAACCATCATAAAAAATAATAGTAACATCCTGACTTGATAGCGCCCCCGGACGTAGTCATTCTTGGCGAATTGAGTAACCAAACTCTTGTGTTTTCTTATCATTTTTCGTATTGTGTGTGTTATTTCCCAACAAGCAGAATAGATTGAATTAAATAAGATTTTGACAAATATGAGGGGCATCCAAAATGTTATTAAATGTAAATGTAGAATAAAAAGAGAAACAATGTTGTTAAAGTAACGGCAAATGTAAACATGCATGTGAGGCATTCCGCAACACAATAGTTGAAAATGATCTTTAATGAAGTATGAAGTACTAAATAAAATGGAGTGAAATAACATATTTCTATATACGACACCATCGTTTAAAAAGGAATTTGACTTTGCACCACACTTTTTGAGTGATATTGGACTTTGCACCCCATTTTGAAAAACTTTGATTTTGCATCACATTCCACTTAAAATTCCTTTGACTTTGCACTCCATTTAGAAATTTTTCTTCACAAAATGGTATGTGTTGGGGTGCAAAGTCAATTTTTTTTGAAAATGGGGTGCAAAGTCCAATATCACCCAAAAAGTGGGGTGCAAAGTCAAATCCCCCTTTAAAAAAAAGAAAATATTAAATACTTAGCTTCTAGTTATCTTTAGGCGGCATAAATCCCTTTTAGTATAAAAATGAAAATCATAAATAATGTTTTCTTACTATTAGCTCTTATAATATATGATGAAGTACTACCTAGAACTTTTCTTAAGTGCTTTATTTTCTATACGTATTAATCTATATTTTATAAGGCCGCATTACAATGAATTATATCGGACAATCTATTTAGTATCTCATTCTGAAAACATTATAGGATAAATGTTGCTACAACATCAATACAAGGGCACATCTGACACAATGTTTCGTTAGGTCTCAATATTATACATAAAAAACTATAAAAAGTTAAAGAATTTTTCTTTTTCTAAATATCTCTTCTTAGCTGCATTTTTTCAATTTTCATATGGAATATTGGTGTCATATTAAAGATCGAAAAAAAAATATTAGTTTTAAAAACATTTGGATTAATAAAAAATATTAAAAAATTGCATTATAATTAATTGCTTGGCCACATGACATGCAAATTAAATAGGGTGGGGGTGATATTCACCCTCCTTTTTGAGGGTGAACAAAATTGATTTCTTTTTTCTTAGATGTAGTATGGGGATATGCAACATTATTATTGTATAATTAGTGTGAAACAAGTGAGTATTGTGAATTAACGGGAAAAGGTACTCCAATAGGAGCCCCGGCATGTCTATTTATATTAAAAGAGTTTAATACAGATTATGAAACAAATATGCCTAATAATATTCTATTACACCCCTTCAAACTGTGCGGGAGATACAACGCGCAGGTTGTCCTTTAAAAAATGAAATTGCTGACTAGAAAGACTTTTGGTAAAAATATCAGCTAACTGCAACTGAGTGGGGATGTACTTGACAACGAGATCTCCATGAGCAACACGTTCTCTGACAAAATGATAGTCTATCTGAATGTGCTTGCTACGAGCATGCTGAACTGGATTAGCTGTAAGATAGGAAGCGTATATATTATCACAAAGCAGGTGAACCAGAATAGAAACAGGATAGCCGAGCTCAAACAATACAGAATGAATATGCAGGGTATCCTGAACAGTATAAGCAACGGCTCTATATTCAGCTTCCGTAGAGGATTTGGAGACAGTAGACTGCTTCTTGGATTTCCAGGAGACAAGATTTGGGCCCAAGAATACTGCAAAGCCAGTCGTGGAACGAGACGTATCTGGCCAGCCAGCCCAATCAGCATCAGAGTAAGCAATAACACAAGTAGCTCGAGAGGTAGGCTGAAGCCACAATCCATGATCAAGAGTCCCCTGTAAATATCTAAAAATCCTTTTGACAGCAAAAAAATGAGTAGTACGAGGAGCATGCATAAACTGAGACACTAAATGCACAACATAGGTAATATCAGGTCGTGTCAAAGTTAAATATTGTAACGCACCAACCATACTACGATACTCAGTAGCATCAGCAAGGAGCTCCCCATCAGTGAGGGATAAGGCAGTGCGAGTAGCAAGTGGGGTACGTACAGGCTTGAGAGTATGGAGATGAAAATGAGATAAAAGATCAGACACATATTTATGCTGAGATAGAAACAAACCTTTGGCGGATCTGACTGCCTGGACTCCCAAAAAATAATGAAGATCACCGAGATCTTTCATAGCAAAATGCTGAGCAACAAGCTGAATGAAAGATGTGATAGCAGGAGAAGAATTGCCAGTAATAATTATGTCATCCACATATAGTAATAAATAAATGACATTATTATTCTGGCGAAAAATGAATAGTGAGTTATCAGACTTGTTGCACGTAAAATGGTGAGATAATAAGAAGCTACTAAACCTATGAAACCATGCCCGCGGGGCTTGCTTAAGACCATAAATGGCTTTTCGCAAACGACATAAATGATTAGGAAACAAGGGATGAATAAATCCCCGCGGCTGACGCATATATACCTCTTCAGTGAGATGACCATGTAAAAAGGCATTTTTAACATCCAATTGACGAATGACCCACACAAAAGAAATAGCTAAGGTAAGTACAATACGAACTGTGGTGGGTTTAATTACTGGACTAAAAGTTTCAGAAAAATCCACACCTGCCTGTTGATTAAAACCCTGAGCAACCAACCGAGCTTTGTGATGCTCAATAGATCCATCAGAATTATATTTGGTCTTATAAATCCACTTAGAGCCCACAACATTTTTAGTATTATCAAATGGAACTAAATCCCAAGTATTATTAGAAATAAGAGCATTAAATTCTTCTGCCATTGCCTCACGCCATTTTAACTGTTTATTAGCCTCTGAAAAACAAGTAGGATCAGCTGATAAAGCAACAATATTTAAATTAAAAATTGTTTTAGGTTTAAAGATTCCCGACTTCGCCCGAGTTTGCATGGGATGATGATTAGCAAGAGGGACGGGAGGTGGAGAGATATGAGGCGGACTGGCCGTCGTCTGCGGCATCACCAGGACGTTGCCAGGAGGAGGGGCAGTATCTATAGGCTCAGTTGGAGGGGTATGAGGCTGAGACGGAGTGGGGACAGGAGTGTGCAGCGGCTGGTTCTGGGCATTGTCGTGGTTTGGCAGGGTGATGGCTGGACAAGGATGTGTTGGTGTGAGGGGAGGTGTGTAGCCAGTGTGAGAGTTCGGTGTGGGAGAGGGTTTGGACTTAGCTGTAGGTATAAGAAGTGTGTTGGACGGTTCCTGATGTGGTGAGGAGGATAGGCTATGATTTTGGGAAACATAAGCTGTATTGGTGAGAGTGAAATCCTGAGAAATAGTGAATGAGTCATGACCCGTAGACGAAGACAAGGTGGCATATGGAAAAATATTTTCATGAAAACGGACATGCCGACTAATAAGAATTTTGCCAGATTTAGGCTCAAGACAACGATAACCCTTAAAACCAGATGCATAGCCAATAAAGACACACTGAACAGACCGAGGAGAGAGTTTGTTGGAAGAGGAAGCAGAAAAATTTGGATAACAAGCACACCCAAAAATACGTAGTAAACTATAGTCGGGAATTTTGTGAAAAAGTTTTTCATATGGTGAAGCACCAAAAAGAGTAGGAGAGGGAAGTCTGTTAATAATGTAAACAGCTGTGAAAATAGCATCAACCCAAAAATGGCTAGGAATTGAAGCTGTGATAAGCATAGTCCTAGCAAGTTCTAGGAGATGGCGATGCTTACGTTCGGCAACCCCATTTTGCTGCGGAGTATAAGGGCAAGATTTTTCAAAATATATGCCATGTTCAGCCAGAAATTGTTGCATAGGAAAATTAACAAACTCACCCCTTCCATCACTTTGAAAAACTTTAATTTTAGCATTGAACAAATTCTCAACTAATAGTTTAAAAAGACGAAACTGAGTAAAAACCTCATTTTTAGTGCGCAAGGGGTAAATCCAAGTGAAACGAGAAGAATCATCAATGAAGCACACATAATATTTAAATCCTAAATTTGATAACACAGGAGATTGCCACACATCAGAATGAATCAATTGTAACGGAGAAGAAGAATTATGACTAGCATCTGAAAAAGGTAATCGTTGAGATTTACCCAAACGACAAGAAACACAATCATGTTCAAAATTTGAAGAATTAGAAATAAGTTTTCTACTACGCAATAGGCGTAAAACAGATTCACCACAATGTCCTAATCTACGGTGTGCCATACAGGGCCAGAAGGAATAACTGAAGCTAGAGCTAGAGGTGCAGGTGGACTGAGGCTGACAGGGTAGAGATGACCATTATGATGCGCCTGAAGAAGAACTGCCCCCGAAAGTTTGTCCTTAACAGAAAAAGAATTTTTATAAAAAATAGCAACACAGTTGTTATCAGCACACAATTTTTGGATAGAAATTAAATTGAATTTAATCTGAGGCACATGAAAAACAGATTTCAATGACAGCGGACGGCTAGAAGTATTTAATGTAATATTACAAACATTAGCAATAGGAAGTTTAATGCCATTTGCAACACTAACATACATGGAGCCAAAATAAGGAGATTTATTTGACAAAATACCTTCAGATGATGTCATGTGAGCTGAAGCTCCGGAATCCGGATACCACAAAGCATCATTAATTTCCCAGACGGAGCAACCAAAGCAGGTGCAGATGGCTGTGAAAAGCAAGACGGACAGTGTAATGCGGAATGACGTGCAGAAAAACAAATTTGACACACAACCATGGAAGGTACTGACCCAAGAACACCCTCAGCTGATGAGAAACCTGCATAATGAGAGTGAGTACCAGAAGTAGATTTAGCATTAATATTTAAAATGGACAAGACAGATTTACCGGATGGAGCATTATTTGGCCTCGGATTATACACACACCCTGCGGCCAAAGGCTGGGGTGCGGGCAGACTGCCTGGCTGCTGCTGTGGATATGCCTGCTGGCCGTAGGTCGGCTGATGATGGAATCGGCCCCTTCCACGGCCTGTTCTGCCTCTGCCATTTCTGCCGCGGCCTCCTCTGCCGCAGTATGCACCATTGCCAGGTTGCTGCTGTCCAGGCGGATTGTGGGGCTGGCCTTGACCCACATGTGCTCCAAAAGCCGGCTGTAGAACTTGTTTCTCGGCTTCCATAAGACGTGGGTGGAGAATATCGGGTGGAAAACTCTTGGGAAATAATGATATAGTACCCGTAACAAATTGATACTCAGGCCCCAATCCACTAAGTGTGCTTTAAGGTAATTCTTTATTAGTCACAGGAGAATTTATCGTAGCTAAAGCATCAGCCAGATTTTTAATTTCACGTAAAAAATGTTCCGTAGACTGATTTGGTTTCTTTTTGGTATTGTTCAAGAAACGTTTGAGTTCCATAGCCCTTGGTAAACTGACAGACATAAAACGAGATTGCAACCTTGCCCATATACCAAAGGAATGTTTAATATCATGTACATAAGTTAATACATCCCGAGTAAGAGTGGCAAACAACCAAGAACGAATTGTTTGGTCCACCCGAAGCCAATGATAGTAATCAGTATTAACTATGCGCTGATTATTAATATCCAAAGTATACATGGGAGGTACCTGAATTGTGCCGTCTACAATACCAAAAAGTCCTTGTGACACGAGGAATGACTCGAACTGAATCCGCCATGTAAGATAATCTTCAACCGCTTTAAGCTTAATAGTCACAATCTGACCGACATTAGTTATCCCGTGTGAAACTGATTGTGCTAATGCTGCCATAGGAGAACCAAACAGTGGATTATCCTGTACGGGCCGAGTGATTCCGGGCGAGCCAGCAAAGGTCGGCCCGAAGTACTGAGTGTTGAGTGGCTCCGGACTTGGCGTGACCGGAGGAAGAACCATCTGCGGCTGAGGAGTTGGTGTGGCCTGGGGAAAAACTGGAACAGAGTGCGGCCACATGACCGAATTTGGCGTGATCTGAGGAAGAGCGGAAGCACAGTGCGGCCATATAACCTGTGGTTGTGGTCGTGAACTTGCAAAATTCATGTCGGGGCCAACCTGCTGCCATGGACCTTGTGGCGGCAAGGTTTCGAATAGAGAAAATTGTGGTCCAGCAGAATAAGAACGGAGGTCCGACGCAAGGGGAAAGGAGTAGTGCATCGGTTGAGAAGACTCCAGAGCAGCAGTGATGACAACCGACGAAGAGAGTGTATCGATTGCAGTGGTTGTTGTCATATCCTCCGTGGAAGAAGGCGGCGAAGACTCACCGGAGGAGATGGTCCCATGGAGAGCTGCGGTTGTGCCATGGCTGCGTCGACTGTGAAAGAGAGAAAAAAATAGGTTTTTTTTTTCTTTTAGGCTCGTGATACCATGTGAATTAACGGGAAAAAGTACTCCAATAGGAGCCCTGACATGTCTATTTATATTAAAAGAGTTTAATACAGATTAAGAAACAAATATGCCTAATAATATTCTATTAAGTATAAAATAAAGAAAATGAAATACGAAGTATTTGGTTTAAAAAGTTCTAGTCTTCTAAATCAGATGAACGATATTACATGATATCGTATGTAATCATATGTATAAATAATACACGGTCTTTTCTATATATGATGTTTATGATTTTTCATTTAATATTACTTTATGAATGTGCATCCATGTTTTTAAAAAAGAAATAAAAACTTCTTTATGTTTTATATTACAAAAATACAACACATGCATGTTTAGACGTAAAGGTCACCAACAATGTATATAATTAAAAGTAAATGAACTCTTAAGTCTTAACATAGAAGTAACAATGATCATCAGACATTATAATTTGCATAAAATTTATTAGAACTAAAATTGATAAGAAGGATGAGATGATGAAACATGTACAAAAGTTATTCACTGACTCACCTGCGCACTTGTGGAATTCAGGAACGATTGATGACTAGATTAATACTCCGTATTTTATTGAAACTGCCTCTAATCTCTATATGTCGCAGGTATATGTAATTTATGTGGGTTCACAATGTGCAGCGGGTGATTTCACTTGTGAATATACGGCCGGGAAGCTAAGTGCCGTATGATCGAAGTGTGGGATATAAGTCACCATGTAATTTACTTGGGTGGGAACAATTAGTTTTCACGATTCCGTTTTTTATATTAATATAGATTTGAACTAATAATCACCAAATCAAAACAACAATTGTTGGAATAATCTTAAATTTGTTTTAAATAAGATGTGTTTTGTTTTATCGGTACTAAGACTAGGTCAGCTGGGAGTTACGTAGTATTAGGAGTATTTGAATTAGTGGAGTGATGGAGGTAATGTAAGAGTGGATCCTATTTACTAGCCCATCAACTTTTGTTAGTTAGTTTTTTTATTTGCTCTATATATTATGTAAGGCGTAGCATGAAAAGACTTATTAATCATGTTTCCTCACAAAAGCTGTCTCATACTTATATATTTATATAGCTTCAGATTTGTTTCCTTACAACAATAACATTGTTTTCAAAGAAGGCATTCAAAATATATGCTTTTCATTTTTTTTGGAAGAAATGTGACTTAAATTGATATCACAATATTCAAATAGGGAACAAACAGATAAAATGACCACTCTCCACCGTCAGCCCTCGAACCACACTTAGAGTCGATAACCTTCTAGAAAGTAATATGACTCGCTCATCCATTAATGGACATAATTGAGTCAAAAGCGGTCAAAACAGATCTCTCATCACTCAATCCTCATGCAAGAGTTAGACAAAACAAAAAATAGAATGCGAAAAAAAACATAGTCTGACCAAAGGTAAAAGCAAAAACAAAAACTAATTAAATTATTAAACTTGAGCTGCATCTTCAGAACCACGAGGGCTCCCGCTGTCCTCCCGAGTCTTTTCAAGCTCGGTCGTGATATTTTATGGGTCTGGAACAATACAAACAGAGTAAACCTTAGCAGGGGCGGAGCTAGGGCACTGAACCGGTACAAATAATATTTTCAGAAAAAAATTTACACGAAATTTTTTACCTTAAAAAGTAAGCCATTTTTTAAATTTTGGGGTGGGCCATGGCCTAGGTTGGCCCACCCCTAGCTCTGCCTATGAACCTTAGGGTTAGCGTGTAAATGTTGATAATACTTTTTTTGCTATAAAAATATATTAGTAAATTTAAATTAATTTTGTTATTAAAATACAAGTATAACTGTATAACACATCAAATAAACCCATAAAACAGTCGGTTAGAAAAATATATTGCAGTATTTGATGTGACATTCAAGAAAACAATGTATCTAAACCGACGGAATGAAACAAGTAGTACAACTATTACTTGTAATAAAAAATTTTGAATTAAGGAAAGATGTGAAAGATATATCATTTAAGGAGGAATGTTTTTCTTATTTCAAATCACATTATTACTAGACTAAAACAAACTACTTCAATCTTTCGCTTTAATAAGAGAACTAGAAAAAATTAGCGAAATACTATCAATTCAATGAATCATGAGTATAAATGAGAGAAATAGATCAAAAGAACATTTATGGGTTAACCCATAATGAATAAAAAAAATGGTGAAGTATGTTCTCAATTAATTCTAATATGCGCGTTTTAAAAATGCATATCTAAAAAATTATAAATTTGATTTTATTTTTTAATTTTTTTAGATTTTAATGTATATATAATTAATATTAACACACACACACACAAACACATGGTTGAGAAATTTATGAGCCATAGTGGCAATGGACCCTGGGCGCATCCCGCATTGCCTACAGGGCGGAGCTAGGGAGGAGCCAACCCTGTCTCTGGCCCAGCCCAAATTTGAAAAATGTCTATATTTTAGTGTAAAAAAATTCCTTTTAAAACTTACCCCAAAAATATTCTTTGTACCGGCCCAGTGTCTTGGCTCCGCCTCGGAATTTGCCTATGCCCCTAGATTGGCTCGGAGTCTTTTGTAATATTGTTATTTGACTCTAGTATAAATATATATTTCAAGATTTGCTATCTGACTCTAACGGTCTATCTTTTTTTTTCTATTAACCCCAGTCTGGATTAAGATGTTGTCTGGATTAAGTGATATTTGTATACAAAGTTGTTTACTTTGTAGGCTGAATAAAAAGTCTGAATCGAGTAAAGCAATCAATTTTGTATTATTCTTAGATTATAGTGTCAATGAAAAACTTCATTTATTAATATAAATTTATTCCACAATTAATTTGAAAAAATTGACAGAAAAAAGTCGTAATACGTTTTAAGGGTCAAGACTGCTATTCTCAAGTTTAATGATTAAGTCAATTTTTTATTTATTGAATCATTAAATCACGTTTCCAATTAAGTCGTAAGTAAACATGAGTTAATGGATAAATGATTAAGTCGTCATTAATTAGTTCTAAGCTAGTACGGAGTATTATACTTTACTCGTGTTAGTTAGTTCTATGCTTCCATGTAGTGAAATTATGAAAAACAACATTACATAATTAAAGTCATGAAATAAATCAAACAAAAAAGAAATCGTTTTTCAATTTTTTGAACTAAAGCACGTACCACTCCTTCAAAGTCAATAACTCGTTAAACACGCTCAAAAAGGTACAAATCAAAAGGGGGAAAACACAAAAAAGGACAAACATTACAGCTAAGTGCATGAGATTATTTAACTTCAATCAACTTATCAACCACATAAGCTACTATAGTTGGCTACTATAGTTGAAAAGCTAAATGCTACCATCAATTTCCCCATGCCATAAATAATAAATTCCATATATAATCATTATTTCAGTTCCATTTTTACGAATTCTATGATTTCTATCTCATCCAGCCTTCCAAGTCCCAATAAAATATGATGAAGTTATCGGGTAATAAACACGATTTGGTTTCCACCAAAAATTAATATGAGATCTAACGTAAACATGCATAGGCGGCAACTGAAGAACTGAAACTTAATCCTGATTTCTGCTACGATAAAAATGATAATTCAATGGTGCATTCCCCCCATTTTTAGTATGAATGATTAATGATTAATTCGATCAATGGTAAGGTCGCGTTAGCAATTCACTTAGGCCCTGTTTGGTTGGAGGGTTTTGGAGGGGAGAGGAGGGAAGTGAGGAATTTGTGTATGTTTGGTTGAAGGAAATAGGAGGGAAGACGAGGAAAGTGGAAGACTTCCAAAATCCTCAACTTTATCCCATTCTAAACCTCCTAAATCGGGGTATTTCGGAGGAAACGTGTTGATAACCACAAACTATCCATCTCTTACGTGAATGACAAAACGTTATAATATAAAAAGGTAAAAAATAAAAAAATTTGAAAAATTAAAAAATTTAAAGAATACAACAACAACAACATCTAAGCCTTAGTCTCAAACGAAAAAAAATTTAAAGGATAAAAAATTAAAAATTTAAAAAATAAAAAAAAAAGTAAAAAGAAAATAAAAAAAATAATAAATAAAAAAAACAATAAAAAAGTTAAATAAAAATAAAAGATAAAAATTATAAAATTAAAAAAGTAAAAATCAAAAAATCAAAAAACAAATATGACTCATGACCATAGGAGTAATATTCACAATAGTTAGACATGTATCTAATTTTTTAAGTAAGCTATCAAATAAAGGTAAATTGTGAAAAATATTTTCATTACACCTTTCTTCCTATCTCCACCAACCAAACACAAATTTTTATCAAAATCCT